CAAGCGTGGGTAGTGTCCTTCCCTTATCTTCTCTCGCAAAGCCTAGCCACGATGATGACTGATGACTTTCTTCTCCCATCTGATGGAGTTTTGGTAAGAAGAGAACTCATTAAAGCCTGAGCACATTGAGTGTGTGAATCTCAGCATATCGCAGCTCTCAGACTCCAGCTGATGCCAAAGCCCATCAGCATGGGCAGGAACAGCCCCCCTGCTCTCTTTCCGTTCAGAAGAAGTTTTGCTGAATGTTTCTTTCTTCCTTGATCTCAAAATATCCTTGGACTTCCTCCATCCCTCCTCTACCACAACTCCAAATCTCATCTCCCCAATCATGTTTCTACTTGCTTACTTTCTTGCCTCTTCCTCCAGATCCTCAACTTGAGTTGCCTGTTCCCCCTTCAGTCCCTCAACAACAAGAAAAAGAGGGGGTTGCTTAAGCCCACTTCAGGTCCGTTGCACCTGCTTATGACAGGACTCTTCACACAAAACTGCAAAGAGCGGTGAGAAAATGGAACAGACACTAAAGAACTTGAACTTATTTTCTTGCCACATCTTAAATAGAAGGACGATGATGCTAGTAGAGACTCAAAGGAAAGTACAAAAGGCGGCACACACTTTGAAAAAGCAGACCTTTCAGATATTTATGTGAAAAATATCACTTCAGTCCCTGCTGCAAACAGCAGAAAAGAAATGAGAGTAGCAAAGCAAGACTATCATTGCTTTGTGAGAAAATTTTCACATAATCTTAAGTCTACTTTTTCTAGCAGCTCTTCCATCACATAAGTGTGCACTTGGACACATGGCTGGAAATACATATTTATAAAATGAATCTTTTTGTCAAAAAATATTATAAGGCAGACAAGGAAGTGCAATTATGTCACTGACAAACATAAATAGCTGAATATAAACACGAAGATGCACAGAAACAAAGAAGAATTAAAATAAACTCTGAGCTGATTTCCTATAGGTAAAACTCACTTCCAAACCTAAAAACCTGAATAATTTAATTCAAATGGACAGCTCTCTTTTCATCACAGTCACGTGTATGTTAGATTTTTCATGATACTATCTTTATTGTGGGAATAATAAAATAATATATTTTAAAAAAATAAAAATACAATTGAGTGTATGCCTTTTTCTTTGAGAAGTATTCAGAATTACAGTATCTTTCAAGCTCACCTCAACATATTTTTGTTAGGTGCAAGAGTAGAAGATCTCTGGATTGAAGTAATACTAAGGACTGAAAGCCAGCAGTAAGTTGATTTCAATCTACCTGATGAAAACATTACACTAGTTGTCTAATAATATACACGTACACAGCAGACACACAGTTTATCTATGAACAAAAATCTCTGTGTAGGTCTCCCTGAACACTTTTATATGCATAGTCATTCATCTAAGCAGCCTGATTAATGTACTGGCTTCATTCTCGAAGATGAACCAAAGGTGGCACCACAAATTCATTTTTCAGTGCTAATGAAATAATGCAATAAGAAACAGTTGACTTTATTACAGACAACAGTACAAACCTACTCCTACACCGCAGGAGGTGGGCCAGGTATATTCTCCCAGGTTATAATTTCCCTTGATGTGGTACTGGAAAAAGCAGGATCCAGAGATACAGATAAACAAAATCAGAATGTAATTCCCTCTGATTTCTCTCATGTGCAGGAGGCAAACACTGGGAGCTAAACCTCCATCATGTCATTTGTTACCTGGGGACCGACCAGTGCTTGGATGCAGGCGGCCCCCTGCAGCTTGCCCTAAGACAATTATAACATGCTTCTGAAGACAACTGCAAGGGTTGGCCCAGCTGTGCAAGGCAGTCCAGAAGGTCTTTCTACTGCCTCACCCTCCCTGCTGTAAAGTAGCCTGTCAGAGGTCACTCTGCCTCCCCCACGCCAATATCTTAGCTATAGCTAGTAGCACCTACATCTCAAACCTACTAAAATCAGGAAAGTATTTGCAAAACATCTTTCTTTTACACTGATCAGATAAATTAAGCAAAAAAAAGCCTTATCTTTGGTAGGACAATGTATCACAGAAAGAAGAGTGTTGAGTTAGGACAGGCAGGTAAAATACTGTTCCCATAGGAAGCACATACTCACACCAACTTATAATTTCACATATATCACATTAAAAAAAAGTAAGTAAGTCTACACTAAGCAAGACTTTCAACATCTATGATGAGAACCCAAAGACCTGATAGCCAGATACAAATTCCTGGGTAAGCCTGAACAACTCAAGGCAGATTATTAATCACAAACAGGATAGTCCAAGAGCCAGGAACTTTGTGCCTGACCAAAACAATAAAACCATTGCAGTATAATTTAGACTGAGAAACAACAAGGTTTCAATCTCCCGCTGTTTTGTCCGTAAGTCAATTGAACAAAAAAACTGCAGAGCTGCTGAGGAAACCTTCACAAGAGTCAAAAGTAATGGGGTCACTCAACTTTTGAGAACCCACCATCCTTGACACATGTCCTTCCTGGGCATGCAGTGAAGATATACATGCCTAAAGATTTTTACAAGGTGTAGTCCAAGAGAGAATTAACAAAAAATAAAATGAAAATGTGGTAATGCACTACCACCTCTGACTGCAATGCCAAAATGAGGATTTATGGGCTCAAAGCTTACAGCCTTGGCCATGTGCAGTGCCACATACTCCCTGCCCGCTGCGTGCCATGGTGAGATGGCGTAGGAAAGCTTACCTTGTGGAGTCTGATGAAGGTTTCATGTGGCCTTGGCTGCTCTCCTCCCACACACTGTTTGCCAGCTCATTCCCAATAGAAGACATCACCTTGATGAGCTCTATAGGCCAGTCATCCAAGTCGAGAGAGCGGACCCGGGAGAGGTGCGTGCCAAGGTTTCGGTGTATACCTGAGCATTCGATACATATGAGAGCTCCCAGATTCAAGCTGGCCCAGTCGGGGTCTATGGGAAAAGGGACACAAGGAATTAGTACAGTGAAACACCTGACAAAACTTTCTAGTTAATGTTTGTGGATAAAAGAGCAGGTGTCCTGTCCAAAAGCATAGTTAAGAGGTCTTCCAGTAGGGTCAATTTTGCCTTGTGGAGATACTAACCCTTCCGAGAAACCCTCAAGGAGTGAAAAAAATTGTGGAGGGGAGTCTCAAAAGAAAATACGAATTAGAGAGAAAAGAAGAAACAAAGAAAATATAAATGCAGTGGCAGGCAGCTGATGATGAAGTAGCGGAGAAAGTCCCTTCTTGGGAATCTAGAGCCACTTGTAGACAATTACAAGGGAAAAAGGAGGAAAAAAAAAGAGCTACTAGATACAATGTCTCTGTTGCTAACTATATCAGCTCCCTTAATAACCATCTATATCATCACCTACATATGGCTTTTACATCTAACACACTATGGGGTGTGCTTTCATCTCTAAGATCAGGGAGATAAGTACTAAGATGAAAATATGATACTCTGAACAGTTCCAGTTTTAGTGTACAAGCCAGAAGGATTCCACTCACTCACACACACACACACATAATAACCCCGCAAATAGTAAGGCTGTGACAAACCTGACAAAAGCTGGGAAATTCAAAGTCATTTCCCAAGATGGTTCACTTTTTTGTGACTGTCCTGTGTTATTTAAATGTAGATTTGTATGAATCTCCTTCTCTCCAACAAACATTCATTTTAACAAATGCAATGAAAGATGTATGGGAGGAATTTTTGGTGGCTTTTTTTCCTCCCTCCTGCTGTCAAATCTTTTCTTCTCACCTTATCCTGGGCCTCTTGAAGAATTAGCAGGCTATCACAAATGCCAAGCAGGAAAACGGTGATTAATTGAGAGGGCAGACAATTTTTATTCAAATCTAAATAAAATCTAGAGCTGATAGAAAATGAATTTCCAGTGTCTCCTTCCATTTACGGAAATTTCAGCCAAAACCTCATTTCTACTTTATGTAACCCGAAATCAGAAAGGAATTTTTGGCAACTAAAATACGTGAAAAGAAAACTATTCCTAGTTCTTTGCCATGCCATGTTTGGACACAAAATATGAAAAGAAAGCAGATAATTTTAACTGCAAAGTCCTGCACTTTATTGAAGGCACTGACTGACATTTTTCAGTCAGTCCTTACAAATCTAAAAATTTCCCCAACAAGAAAAATCTCCCATCTTATTTCATTTGAGCAGAGAAACAGATCTTTGCCTAAAAAGTTACTGTCCATACCAAGTCTTAGACTAGGAATATACAGCATTTCAGATCTCCAAATCTCCATCTCTGGGATGTCCCTGTTTGCAATTCACTGCTCCTATCTGCATTTTCCTCTTCCCATATGCAGTTGAGCACTTTTAAAATCTCATGCTTGAAATCTGTTACCACTGATTTATCCTGAAAAGAACCACGTGCGGTTAGTAAAATGTAACTATTCAAGCTGGTTTTCACATTTTTTTTTAATCAGATGATGGAAAATCAGCTCACTTTTCCTGCTGTTGCTAACACTAGTTCTGAATTGGAGGATGCTTAGAATACCTACAACCATGTGGCAGGCTTTTCTTCAGTACGCGTACATTCAGATTTGATGGCAAAGGAAGAAAAAGCCCATTCAATGTAGCTAGAGGTGCTTTAAAGCTAATTTCCCTTTGTTTTATTTACAATTTGTCAAACAAAATCTGAGCTTTTTTACATGACTGAATATTCCCGGATTACAATTTTCAGCTGCTCATATTCTTAAAGGTTTTTCGTTCTCTCCTTCTCTAAAAACCTCCTGCCCACTTTGACTTAAACCTCAGTCAGATTGATCATCTGAAGGTGAAAGCTCTTGGAACAGCTCTTTTAGGAGAATAACCCCTCCCCACCGTTTCCTTCATCCCTTTGGACATGAGGTTGCTAATGAAAGGCTTTGCTATGCTAAATTCTGATGAGTTCAGCATGTGCAAGATAGTGCTGGGCAGAGCAGAAGAGGAGTAGAAGAGCCAGGGAAAGAAGCAGCAGGGGGTGCAGGCATCTCGCAAAGAGTTGCAGCAACAGAGAGAAAAGTTTACGTATTCTGTTTATGTTCTTTTTTTTCTATTCTGAATATAAAACTGAATCTTGTGATGAGCCTGACAGGCTTCCCAGGGCCACACAGATTATTACTTCAGTGTTTGGCTTTCAAATAGAAAATACAGACTCTGCTGGACTGCAAAACGAGTGATGAGTCTCTCTTGAAGCCCTCTGCTTTCTTCTACAACAGAAAAGGCCTGATATTCCATGCTCTCCAGTTATCTTGAGAGAGTGACTCATATTTATACTCTGATCTGCTCTTTAAGCAGTAAGACTGGAAGAACTAAAATCCTTCGGCAGCAGAAATTTAGCTGGGTTTGCCTAAGCAATTTGATCACCCTCAGTGCCTTCTCCAGACAGAAGTCAGCACTGGGACTCTCACACTCAAGGAAAAGGCAACAGCAGTTTCCTTCTGAACCATGAAACCAGAACTTCTTGGGTAAAACCTCTAGCACATAAAGACCACTTTGCCTCATCTATTGCTTTGGAATAGGAATGGTAAAATAAAGGACATTGAGAAACTTCAGCGTGAGACTGGTAAGGGGCCAGAAGGCTGAGGGCACCCAGATGCTGCTGGTACTACTGCTGCTGATTAACATACAACAAGGCAGAAATTCCCTGGTGAAACAAAGTGCAGTGATGAAGTGCTAAAAAGGCAAAGAGCTCTAGAAAGAGGAAGAATGAGACTTCTGAAGTGGAAGATTGATGGCTCTTGAATATAGCTGAGGGACAGCAACATCTCATATTCCTTTGCTCTCAAACATCTGGCTTTGTGAAGATGCAAACTACGTAAGCTTTCCACAAGAGCGCTGGTGTTTGTGATGCTAAATGCTCCGGGGGCAAGGACTTGCCCAGGAAAGGCAGAAAGGGAGAGAAGCAAATGAAGTGAAGCCTGGCAGAAAAAGCAGCAGGCTGAGGTTCACCTCATGGGCGTGTTTATGTTTTAGGACACACTGCTTTGGAAATATCTCAGATTTTTCAGAAGGAAAGACCGTGGTCTTAAAACTAGGAAGGCCAAATAGCAAGAAGAGTCAAAGAGGGTATAAATAATCTCCACGAACACAAACAATTAGGATGTTTCAATTGAGATTCCAAAATCACCCTTTCCTCCCCCAAAGCTACATAACCAAGGTTCAGAGTTGCCAAAAAGGGCAGTCCCACCCTGCCCTCTCCCAGCAACATGTTCTTGGCACATCCCTTCTGCTGGCACCATGCACGCATGGCCAGCTTGACCCATGAAGCAATCTGGATGAAAACCAACCTGGCTGAAATGAAAAAAATTAAAAAAGGAAAGAAAAAAAAAGTGCTGCTTTCTTGCACAATCATTTTCCTGATTAAACATCTAGCTTGGCTGCGTAAATAATGGGGTATGTGCACGACCGGGGAGAGAAACGCACACGCTAGGGATAGCGTGCACTTTAGGTAGAGCTGCAGTGGATCACAGATACATCAGAAGGACACATGTGGGTGTGGGAAGTCTGCAGTGAAGGGACTGCATGTTCGCCCTCTGCCTGGGTGATCAGTTAGCAGGGTCTAGGAAAATGCCACCCACAGCCGTACAGACAGACTGGAGCAGAAATCAGTACCTCTGCCATCACGGCCTGCGCACAGACAGCAGTGAGTACTTCAAATGAGCTAAATATACATCTAGGTCACTTGAAGACCCCGTCCTTCTCATACACAGCACAGCATCTTATATGCCTTTTACTTGAACTATATCAAAGCTTTGGTGTAAATCTGAACGACTACCAGGTTAATATGAAAGAACACCAATAAATAAGAGTCACTTTGGGCTGTATATATTAAAATAGCAGTCAAACCAACATTTCCCCTTGTTTATCACATGCCGGATTACTATCTAGAAGAATGTAAAGCCCTTGATTTATCAACATTGCTATTTTTTGTCCCTGTTTGTGAAAAGTCACTGTAATATTTCTAACTGGGGTCTCCCTCCAGCAGGTCAATAGCCATTTTGAGAGCATCCGAGCCCTGGTGCTCAAAACTCAGTCCAGCCAGGGCTCACATCCCTGCGTGCTGAACCACAGGTGACAGGGCAGCTGCCCTTGTTCTTGATCCGTCCTCTATGGTCAGCATTCAAATACCTGACCGTTTTCAAAAGAAAACATTAAAATAAATTTGTATGTGAAGCACATTTTGATGGTACGCACTGGAAAAATATTTTTTATTTTAAATAGCTGTTAATGTGCTAGGCACCTTATCTTCAAGGCTTCTGATGATGAGGGTGGGGGATAATAGGCTTGTTTGGTGGATGATTAAATCAGCTAAATTGCTAACTATACAGCTAGCAAATTTTGAAGCTAACTGGAATGTTAGAATGGCTTAGACCAGTAGTCAAAATCCCAAACAGCAAGTCTTAAAACAAAAAACTATACTCAAAGAAAAACAGAATATTTTTCCATTTTAAGCACATGTAAAAATAATAAGAAAAGTTCTGACTTTCAAATATTAAAGAAATGAAAATGCACAAGTTCTCAATCCTCCTGCTTCTACAACTAATTGCTTCAGAGCAAGAGTACTTCCTCTTTTTGTGGCTTTGCTGCAAACCCCTGGAACTAAAGAGCACCAGAATAATGACCTCAGCCGGGGTTAGTGAGGTGAACTGTAGCTCAAAGTATTCTCAAGAACACTTTTCTGAACACTAAGTATGTGTTTTAAAAATATAAAAAAAGGGAAAGAAACACAAAGGGGAGGAAAAAAAAAATCCCAAATCAGTTTTCTAGTATCCAGATATAATGAACAATGACTTTGGTTTCTTCTGACAAGAAACCCTAAAAAAAATCAAACCAAAAAAACACCAATCAAGCTCTAACTCTTTGAAGATATTACCATGGCACATGTGCCCTCTTCACCCAAAATGGAAGGAAAACAGTGGATTTCTTTTTCCCTTTTTTCAAAGGAAAGTAAAGAAATGTTGACAATTGAAATGGCATGTGAAACAACAAGGGGAAAGAATTAGGATACATCTAACACAGCATATACTAAGTATAAATTAACACAAAATAAGTCTGATTAAGCAAACTCCATAATGAAGAGGAAACGTGCAAACAATATATGGAACACAGTACCAAAAAAAGGACAAAGCCCGTGGTGGGCGTTCATCTATGTGTCAGCCAAGGAGAAGGCGTCAATTTTCTGAAGTCATGTGGCTGTACTTACTCTGTGCTTCACAGTCCACACAGTGGGAATTGCCTCTGTTGTTCCTTATGGACTGAAGGGCCATGGCCTCGTTCTGGCTGGTCAGGCGGGACTGTTTAGATTTAAAGAAATGCACAAACAACAAATGAGAACCCAACAAAATTAGCTGAGACAACTGTCAGCTGAACGAACACCACAACCCAGAGCTTAGACCAAGGCTGAATGAATATGACCAAAGGACCTCAAGTCCTTGGTTTGCCTCTCAAGAAACTGTGATCCCTTGGCATCCCCAAACACTGTCCACGCCTGCCAAGCAGGGACTCCTCTTTCCTTCTATGTTTTCTGGCAACTTGGGCTTTCTCCCAGGGCTCTCTCCCCCCTGTGCAGGAGCTCCCAGCATTTTGTGGTCTCCAGGCTGGATTCTAATAAGTGGGAAGACTGCACAGAGGAAAATCGAGCTTGAAAATGAACCCCGCTATTCACCAGAACAATAGTCAGAGTGTAGGTTTGCTTCTTGAGATAAATTAGATAAGAATATTATTTTATGAAATCAATTTCTTTTATTGATGTGTATGCTTTTGCTAATGAAGACTAAGGGATGGTTTGCAAAAGCAGCTGAAACCTTTTTATCATCAAAAGGTCAGATTTAATCAGACGGCTCCCATTTAAATTCTCTCCATGATGACCTGCCAATGACCTCTACTTGGACCTGCAGAGACTGTCACAATGGACAAATAGTTCAGCTCTATCCAACTAAAGTGTCTTGTGGGCTCTCTGAGAAGAAAACTGTTAGCTGTAGCAAGTGATGGACCCTTTGCAATGAATTGATTTAAGCAGGATGAGGATCAGGTATTAAATATGGCCATGTGAAGATACATCCTCCTGATCTATCAACAAGATACCTACTAAACCTATCCAACTAACTGTTACTTTGCTATTCCAGCTAGCTCTTCTGACATGTTTTGAAACTTCAGTAATACTTCAGAGAGAAAAAACCTCTCTGAGCATTGCAGCAGGTTGAATATTTAACCAAACAAGCTGCCTGCACACTCATAGTCTTATCAATAGATACTCCCTTTCAAAAGAATATTTAATGTACACAAAGGTCAATCTTCTCTGCAGGTATTGCACAGTATTACCAGCCACTTGTTATCCTCTTGTATTTTTATATAGGTGTTAGTGTACAAATTTCCTCTGTTGTGTCCCCTTAGCATACACATTAGAACATATAAATTTATGAAAGGCAAAAAAAACATAGGAGCATTGATTTTTCTCTATTGCAGAAATACATATTGGAAATAAGTATTTTTTTTAACAAAATGGGAAGCAAATTATGTTATGATGATGATAATCACTGATGCCTGATCTACTCTGGTAAATCAGGGAAATGAAAGCAGGCATTCACTTCAAAATACATGTCTCCGTGCAATATCAAATCATTAAGTCAACTGTTACATTGGTATTATTAAAGGATATATAGGTCTGAATAATTACTCTCCACTTCTTTCCCTCCACTACCATTCAACACCTCGCTCTCTAGTTGTGAAGGGTTTGCAAACGCAGAGTCTGAAGAAGCAGAAGTTCTCCTGCCCATCCAAAAGTGAGAAATGTCTGAAGAAGTCTCAGATTTTAAACACTTGTTTTGACAAGAAATATTTTGTCAATCATACGAAAGCACTGGAAGGTAGAAGGTCTGTTCCTCTTAGGCCATGTTCTTCTCCCCCTAAAAAGCTTTGATTAACTGGTTCTGGATTTGCTTGGTTTATATTAGTCAAGGCAGAAAATAATTTTAAAATTAAGTCAGTGTAATTAAAGAAAAGAAAAATTGCACATATGCTTTGTAAAGCAACAGACACAAAAGCAATAGCTTAATTTTCATTCTGTGGTTTGTATTACTTCATCACAGCAGAGTCCTGTGCCTGAACATTACTACATATTTATGATTAGGTTAACTAGAATGTTTAGTTAAAACTTTGCCATGCAGGAGCTTAGTAGATTAAACTAGAGTTTTGACTAGTAAATATGCTGGTTTTGGGGTCTGCCTCCACTCTTCTCCAAGACAAGCTTTTCCTCAAGTGCCTTCTGCAGTCCTCTAACCCAAAACAATCCTCAACCTACAGCAGTGACTACACTGTACAACTTCTCAATAGGGAGAATCCATGACCTAGCCCTGAGCATCAGTCAGAATTTTAAGAGAAATACTGATGGCAAAAAAGATAATCCAGGAGCTCCATTAATTCAATTGCTGTAAAACAGGCTACAGCACCAGCTACCTTGAAATATCTGAGATATGCATGGAGCTCCAACGCTGCTCTGTCGCATGCCTAATACCTGCATGTCTCTAGGAGTATAGGTTTAAAATGCAAAGTAGATGATTTTGCTTTCCTTTTAATGTTCATCCACCCAAGACTTATTTTCAGTATTACTCTGTGTACCATACCTTGTTCTTGCTGCTCTCACATGACTGTAAACTGGCCAAGATCTGACTCTCTATGGCTTGTACCCACGCATCTCTTTCTTCATATGTGGTAGCTTCAAAGTGCCAAGTCTGGCCAGTGAGAGAGACAATGATAAACTCGAAGTTTTCTTCTTGTTCTGAAAAAAACATGCAATAGGAAGAGAAGTTTAAAGTTTAAGGATATCGGTATCTAGGCTGAAACAATCCTGGTTGATGTGCATTTCTACAATGTATCAAGAAAATGCAGGTCTGGACACTTAAGGTTTGAGGCTAGATACATCCCACTACCCTGCATCAGGAAACAACTTGCAGATCCACTGCTTTTTCTCTCCAAATGTTATGTAGATAAAGTACTGTTTTGGGTAAATATTTAGGTAAATGAGTCTATACCTTTCTTGAATATGAAGTGGCTAATAAGCATTATTCAGATTTAGACCTGAGGAGCTAAGAGCTACATAATGTAAAAACCAAAGTGTGTCACAAAATAACTTAAAAGCTGAATGGACTGTGAAGAGCTGACAATACAGAAGATGTGACAATTTACCCTCTTCCTTCAAGCAGTTGTTTGCATGCAGATATATTAAAAGCGGATGTGCATATTTGCTTCTCTACAGCATAAATACGCTGGGTTATAATACAAGATTAAAATCAGTTCAACCTATTGAACATTCACGTTCGACACAGGAGATGAGAAAATGATCTGAGAAGCTAGCAGAAAGGGTCAATTTAATATCCTCAGGGCTACCAGAGTATAAGGACAAGTATTCAGGCCAGAGGACCACAGCGTATGAAAATACCAGCAAAGCTGAACTACACGGACACATGCTCCAACTACACATGGGACATCAAAGTCAAATTAAAAAATATCAAGGAAGCTGAAACAGAGCGAGTGGAATTGGGAAGGGCAGGCATGAAGCATGAAAGGAACAGAATAATAGAGCACAAAGTTCTGGTGAACATAAGCCATAATGGGCTTTAGAAAGAGCATTTACATTTGCTTGCCTGCTAATGACTTATTTTATATTCAGGGCCATGAAACTCCTCCATTACCTTGTCACCCATAAGCATGCAAAGATAAGTGACAAATCTAGCACCAGCTTTAAAGACAGTACTGCTGCTCACTGGCAGTCACTTTCTCAACCTGTGAGATAACTGGTTTTCTTTGATAAACTCCATGCTAGCAAGACCAGTGCCCATGCTGCTTTAATGATGCTGCAAAAAAATAGCAGAAGGTTACTTTGCACCTGGAGGTGAGAATAAACACAGAGGTGAAGGTTATTTCCAGGTGCGTGAGCTGCATGAAGCAGCAGTTTTACCAAAAATCCCCAAAACAAACCAGAGTGTGAGACAAGTGGGAAAAGAAAGAGGAATTATGCAACTGTACAGCTATAACTACATTTCAGTTCAGCAACACTGTATTGGAAGCAAACAGGTAGACTCATTATCCAAAATGCTACAGTTATATCATGCAAGAAGCCACATTTATCAAACAAAGCTTTCAAGAGTTTATAAGGAAGATGCAAGGGAACTATTCAACAACAAAGGAAATGATGCTCAGCGCTGTGCGCTGTCTCCTGTAGGACACCACAGTTATGGTCTCCTACTTACACAGGAGTGCTACAGCACAGAGTCAGCAGGGAGGGTACTGGCATATGCAGAGTTATGCATATGTTGAAGAAAACAGAACGATGGCGAAGGAAGAGGACACAAAAAACTGAATTCTACCTGAAGCAGCCCCCTACAGAGTCCAATTCAGGAAATTAATCTCTTTTAGGCCTTTCAGTGGCTTCTAAGTGGTAAAACTATGTACTCCTGAAGCCTTACTAAAGGAAGATTTCCAAATGCTGGACACTAAATGTTCAGAAAATCCTTCCACGTAAATTACACCGAGATACGCGCACCTGTACAGCCAGGATCCTGCAACAGGCAGCAAGAAAAAGGCCCTTTTCAGCCTCACTCCATTTTCTACACCTCCTGCTCTTCTCCCTCAGCCCTTCTCTCCTTCACCTGCAGCTCTATCTTCCCCACATCTCTCTCCCCTGACCATATGCCATACCACTCCTATGTAAGCCAAAAGTCTGGTGTAAGCTGAAGGAGCTGCCTCCTAGAGAAAGCAGTCATTGTGCCACCTGAAGTTAAAAATTCCCCACACTTCCTTTTCAAGCAGGGAGGAGGCCCTGTAGGGATGCGAAGACCAGAAGAGGATGACAAGGGAGGAGGCTTCTCCAGCGCACTGGCAGGACTGACTTCTCAATGCATAATAACTCAACAAGAATATATGGTATATAACTAATGCTCACCAAGTACATACAATATATCTGTAGAGAGTCTCTCTGCACTAATTCTGTAACAGTTCAGCCCGGCATTTAAGCATGAGGCGACTTTCCAGCATTACGATTACCTTAAAAGAAATATGAACAGTCAAGCTGCAGCATCACTGAATCCTCCTATTTGCCAATAATTGTGATCACATAGATGAAGCTGGCTTGCCCAATAAAGGCTTGTGAGAAATAAACCCTGCAATTCAGCCCGTGTACTGTTTATACTGTCCTCACAGCGGTACCTCTGCAAGCTTTGTTTTCCAGCAACGCTACACACAGTTATTCCCCTGCTTACAGGAGACCTACGGCAGAGGACACAAACCTGGCTATCCAGGCAACCGGAGTGCAACTCAGGAAACACCTCCAGCCATTTCTTGTGTCTGCTCTTTTGTACGTCAAGTCTCCCTTTCCCAAAGGAGAGGCTCCCTCTTTTCATCCTGTGACCTTTTCTGCTGTGACCAGCTGACACTGCGACAGAAGCTGTAAAACCTTGCACAGCCTTTGTGGCTCGGGATCACAAAGTCCATGTATAACGCTGCTGAGCCTGTCCCGGTGCGGCCCCACCATGGGTTTTGAGAGCTGCAGCGTGTTTGAAGGCTGGGTTGGAAGGATATTTTCATTTTGCCAGGAAGTTAGCTGCAAGCTTGGTCAGCACTGACGATACATTAAGAACATACAAGTTTGCACTCTCTTATGTCCACTGAAGGTTCAGGTTTACTCCTTAAAAAGCTCAGATGAAAAAGCAACTGTGCCAGTTGAAGATGTGTTCAATAATATCTTTTCTGCTTAAATACAATGAATTTTTTTTGGTAAGCACAATTGCGAAGCAAAGCAGCAGAGCCTGCTCCATATTAGCTACAAAAGATGAGTAGCAAACATGTACGTCCATAATCACCGCATGCACGAACAGGAAAATCCAGGCAGCAGAAAGAAATTGTTCAGTTTTACTCTTCAGAAAAATTATAGGTTGTGCTATTTAAATCCCTGTGAGCCCAATCACAAAATTTTATTAAACAGTTTTCCATGTTTAACAGTTAGCAGAGCAAAAATCATAGAAAGGTCCACTATAATAGTATTTTAGCACCATCAACCTGTCGAAATCAACCTGCCCAATTACTCCAAACTACATTCATAACACCGGATATTACACTAATTGTGTCCAGTTTCTATGCAGACGAGGTCCCGCAGGGCTAATTTTGCATCCTTAGGGGCAAGCAACTCAGCTATCAACCTGATTTCTCTAGGAATCCCTCCTCATTACACAAGTCCAGGCTGTCAAACTTTTTTTTTTTTTTAGAAAAAAAGGTTAATGGGCCAATCAGTCATCAATTATTTCCTGGAAGGCCAGCAGACAAAGGGTTAAAGTGCGAAGAACCAGCTGCAACTGATTTCCATTTGGAAGTTATTATCAACAGGAGAAGTCTACAATGTTGTTGTTGCTTGCTTTTTCCTTTCCTTTCCTTTCCTTTCCTTTCCTTTCCTTTCCTTTCCTTTCCTTTCCTTTCCTTTCCTTTCCTTTCCTTTCCTTTCCTTTCCTTTCCTAACTGGGAAGGGGTGGTTAGGATGGGAAATGAGCTGAAACTGTAGGATTATGATGATATGGAACCTAAAGCATAAGGGTTTGTTTTCTGTTGTTGGTTTTTGGTTTTTTTTTTAGTGGACATGGCCATGCAATCAGTGAATTTCAGGAAAACCACCACACCACTTCCCAGCAGCTACACAGTACCACTGTTCATGCTGCACATACTGTTTTCACCATTATCTTTTCGTAGTAAAGCTACTGCATTTAACCCATGTTAACAGCTATTTTGCTCTGCTAAAAGACAGACATTGTTACAGCCCACCCAGTTACAGAAAACAAGATATACAATTTCTTAGAAGCAAAGGATTGTGCAAGGGAAAACAAACATTTAGGCATAGTCTTACTGCATTCCCCGTATCAATGCCGGTGTTTATTGTATGTAACAGAGATCAGATTTAGAAAACTTCACTGAAAATAACTACAGGATACAATTAGTCTATAACTTGTTCCAGAGAACTCAATTAAGTCTACTAAAACATAGGGAAAACACATG